CATATCAGTTTTAGGCAAGGATCCTATTTCACATGTTTTGCATAGCTCAAGCGGCTGCTCTTGCTACTCCGGCTTTGTGCTTTCTAAAACATGAAAGAAATTACCAACAGAAATTGTTAACTTATCAAGTTTCTTCACAACCTCCTGCTTTCACATGACGCTAATTCCTCTCCAGCAAACTCCTTGGTGAGGGTATGGCATCGAATGGGAGATACATCGGATAAGAATGGGGAGAGAAATAGAAGTCACATGAGGAGTGCATGCTGTTTAGCCGAGGGATTTGATAGAGATTTTTTTTAGTAAATTTAGTTAAATAATAATAATAATAATAATAATAATAATAATAACTCTTTTTTAAACAACATATGTGTGTTTTGATCTTCCTCAAATTAGATGTTGTTTGCGCATAGAAATTTTTTTCTTTGCCTTGCATATGAAATTTTGTTTTCTTTTCGTGTAGCGACTTATGCAATATGAGTGTCCTTTGTAATTTTTTCGGATATTTCGTTGCAATTTATTTTGTGAAACGAGCAAGTATTGAATGATTTTAATTGTGATTCAGGTGTTTTGAACCTTATTTACATAACATTATATCTGATATCCATGGTCTGTTGTGATCGTAGAGTCCTCCTTGATAACTTTGACTCTCTAGACATGTTTGCATTATCTGTTTTCTGAATAGAGCAATGATTAGATGATTTTGATATATGCAACGCATTTAAGGCTAGACAATGAATCTATTACATGTTGCTTTCATTGATAGATTCAAGTCATGGGATTTAATCAGAGGTGAACACTTACACGCAATATTTATAAACATCTTAAAATTCTCGTCTTTATTATTAAAAACCAATATCCATATGCTTTATTTAACCTAACATAATTATTTAAAAAATGATGATATGCTAATATGCGTATTAAAGTTTGAAATTTTAATTAATAATTTTCAAACTTATATGACTGCAAAACTATATTTTTGTTATAACATAATAAAGTACATTTTTTTAATAGATTTTATTTTTTTACAATTACTTGTGGTCTCTAAAATTCATACCCCAACTCAATCAAGAGTATTTTGATATTTGGGTCTAATTTTTAAAAGGAAGATTAGGTTGCAGATAAGATATCACCTAGAGATTTCGCTCTAATTTTACGAGGATTTTAATGATATGGTTCTAATTTCTCATAGGCATAAGTGATGCGGACATCGATACGAAGATTTGGCGCATCTATCATAGGAGGCGTCGTAAATCGACGGCTATAATTTAAATATTCAATTATGAGTTATTTTTCTGAATTTTAGTTCTTATTTGATGTATTTCCTGTCTTACCCCTAGGTTGGTTTATGTGAGTGTTGTGGCCCAATGGACAATTTTGTATTTTGAGTTTTCTTATGTTGTGACCTATATATAGGGCCTTAAGCTATTGTAATAGGGATGGATTATTGATATTAAAAATTTGTGTTCAACACTTGTATTCTTTTGAGAGGACGGTAGTGAGATTCCTATGGGAAGGAATTAGAGTTTTCACCAGCCGCAGGATTAGTCCGGGCTCATGACTTGAAGTCCCTTGGAGAATGGCTAAGCATCACCCGTCAGTCTTCGGAAGAGTCCAAGGCTCGCGGGTTTTATCTTCTATCTTTGTTTTTGTTTTTTTCCTTCTTATTGTTCCTAGTCGTTGTCTTCATCCTCTGCCTACGTCCACCATCGTCATCTCCATTTCTGCCATAAGCCGCCGCCACCTCACCAAAAAATCCTCCAAACCGCCGACCATGACTCCCTAGCCGCCGGCCTCATCCCCACTTCTCCGTCTTCTTGAAATTTCCTAATTAGGTTGATGTTTTAATTGGGATGATCAAAGATTTCAAATCCTTTTGAATTTGAATTCGAAATCTTTCCTAATTTGATTGTTCTATTTTAGGAAAGTATTCGAATGACATCCTTTTGAATATTTTATTCATTGGGATTTAAATTGAAACTTACCTAATCCCAAAACCTAAATTAGGAAGGCCAAATTGACTCCACAATTTGCTCCCCCATCCTATGCTAGCTACCGGCCATATAAGGCTCAAAACCGTCGGCCCCACTTCAAGTCTTCCCTTTTGGATTTCTAAATTCAATTAATTGGGAATCAATTTAGGACCCAATTAATTAGAATCCGGAATTTCGAATCCTTTTCCTTTTTGGCTTAATTTTATTTTTAGGAAAGTAAATCCATGACAATTTTGGATTTCAAATTTCAAATTTGAAATCTTTCCTAATTGGGTTTGATCCATATTTGGAAGGTTTTAACTCTCCTATTCAAAATTCAAATTTGCATTAGGAGTTAAATGCCCCCTCAATTTCCTCCCTTTAATTAAGGAATTAATCGCAGCTTTAAATATGAAATTTAATTTCAGATTTAAGGATTAATTCACTTAAGTAATTGGGGCCCACTGATTTGAAATCAAACCCCTCTCCCTCCCTCTCTCCTAGGCCGGCCCCCTCTTCCTCCTTCCTTTGCCTAATTAAGAGCCAATTAATGCTCCTAATTAACTCCCTCATTAACTCAAAAAATTCCTCCACAAATCCCTCATTTCAAATTCAAATTCCCTCTCTCATATTTCTGAAATTAATTCCTAATCTAGGAATTTGATTTGGGAAATAAAATTCCCTCCTCAATCCCGCCAGCCCCTCACTCCCACCTTGGCTTTAATTAATATTTATTTCCTTATCTCCCCACTTTGCTCATAGCCGAATTTCCTCAAATCTATTTCCTATTTTATTTCCCAAATCACTTCACTGATTTTGGAAATAGAAAGTCTACATTTTTTTTTCTATTTTTTCCACCGTCTCCCTCCTCTTAATTATTCCGGATTGTTTCCCTAGTCAAGAACCTGGGATTGGAAATTCCTCTCAGCTTTTCTCTTCACCATTAAGACTAGACTTCTCCCTCAAACTTTCTCCACATCCTAGTCTATTAAAACCTGAGACTTCATCTCAGATTTTTTTGTTAGAAATCTGGACTGAGATTCTTCTCAGGTTTTGGGCAAAGAAGTCATTTTTCCTTCAGATTTTGGAGAAGAGATCCTCTCCCTAGCAAAGCCGTTTTTCCCATTCTACATCAATAAGCCTTATGATTAATTACTCCTCCAATTGATGAGAGAAATATTTTGATTATGACTAGCTAATAGGTACTAAATGATTGGCATATAATAGTTGTAAATTTGGTATATGGCTGAAAATTTATCACTTTGAACTTTTAGCGGATGGTAGGGGAAATTATGAGCAACCCGTTCTAGATCCCCGAGCTTTGTCATTTAGTCAATAGAGATAGTAGACCTAACTTGATCGAAGGATTATTGCCAACAATTATGGGTTGCTTCGTCCAAAGGAATCTTATAGACTTGGGATAAATGCTTGTCTAAGGGGACGAATTTAAATCGACCTTAGCTAATAGTTGACTTTAAGTTCTACCAAGTGCACCCTATGATTTATCTCTGAACGGCTTTTTTATCCATTGGAGAACTTATGGGCTTTTACCTTGATCATAGTTTAATTGTGTCATTTTGTGATGAAATCACCTTATCAGATCTTAACCATTTGTTGTGGTGCCATTTAATGAGAAAATTATAGGCAAATGACACGTGTAACATCCTTTCTAGTGAGAGATTGTTTAAGGATGAATTATAATGATACAGATAACAAGTTGTTTATGAGCTTGTATTATTGCTTTAAGTTTTAGGGTAGTTGGTTTTTATAATTTATGATAATTTTTTAATTTTTATACAGATATAGCCTTAAAATAATTTGCATTGGTATTTTGGTGCATTTTGAAAGTAAGGTCCTCTTGGATTGAGATTTTCAATCAACAAGATCGTCATCGGGTATTTGAGTGATTTTTTTATTACTTGAGGCTTGACAATTCTGCTTGCTTACTAAAAATAGATTGATTAAAGCATTAACTTTGCAAGCTACCTACAACATATCATAATTTTTAACAAATTCTATATTAAATTTAAAAATTCCTTGATACGAGTGAAGGTGATAGTGAACTTGATGAAGAATGAGATGTTAACAAGTTAATTCATGTGGAGTAAGCGAGTTAAGTGGCCATGGCATGGGCATATGGATTTTACATGGGACGAGAGCTTGGGGAAAATCCAAGAACCTGTCGGAGAATGCGGAAGGAGAAATGGGCACAACAATTATGATATATTGGTGATGAGGACTAATGCTATAGAAAACAAAAATTGATGTGAGACTATGTTTAAGGAGATGAGAGATGGTTAGGGGCAATCATGTCGGTGGTGGTTGCGGTGAGACCATACTTGGCAATAGCTTGGAGATCAGAACATGGGTGGGAGAGCTATTGAGACAACTGTAGGTCTTAACAAAAACATGGAGGAGTCGAATGGGGAAGGTAAACTCACACAAGATTCGGGTTATTAGTGAAGCATGAGATCTCCATCAAGATGGAATTGCTTGTTTGCATCAAGTATAAATGGCTTGCGGATATTGCAATTAGCATTAGAAATTATGGAAAGACTACCTGAATGAAAGATCAACTAAAAAATCTATCACATGACTATTATAGAAAAGTAATTATGACTTTAACAAAGGGAATGTGTGGTACAATGTTTATTGCAAAATACAAAATCAAGAAAAATTTGAAGGGATCTAGTTTTTGTTATTCTAGAGAAATATTTATGGTAAATTCGACAAAAATTTTTCTGAAAAAATTTCTTAATAACTTCTGCTGGTATTTATGGTTTTCTTATATATTATGTATTTATATTAATTCTACAAGTTTTAGAACTCAAAAACCCTATCCTGAGGGGTATCTTTAGTGGACATAAATATTCATATGGTTCTTTCTAATATGTCCGTTGATTTTTCTTTAATGTTCTGAGAATATTTGATGTTTAGTTCCAGTAATTTTTTATTTTTATTTTTATTATTTATTTTTTTATGTTTAGTTCCAGTAATATTTTAATGCTTATATCTTACATTAATTTTCAGCCTTGGAAAGCAAGAATCGAAAAAGCTCACCACCAGGGAAAACTGATGTTTCTTGAAAACTTGGACCCATCTTATTCAGCAAGTGAGATTGAGGTCTGCCATTCATACTATCCTATTTCAAATATAGAATCTTTGTTTATAATCATAGAAAGATTAGTGAGCAGAAAATAAAATAGAACTCCCAAAAGATCACACACACAAATATTCAGAAAAAAATTCAGTTAATTACAGTTTTAATGGCCCAGAGATTGATATTTTTCGGTTCTTACATCATTTTAAAAGATTATTCCTTGTAAATCTTTGAAGCGCACAACATTCATTAGCCAGGTTCACTGTACTATGATAATTGAAAATTTTACTTGTTTCAATTCAAATGTGCTCCTATACCAACATGCAAATGAAAACATTGCGCATTGTTCTCATTTGTCAAGCTTCTTTGTCCGTGTTGTATCATTTTCCATAGTCATAGATTTCTTTGTTTATCAATATAGTCTTAGTAATTTTAGTGTTGATTAATTAGTTGCATTCATTGGCGTGCCTTTTTTTTCCACTTTTTTTCAACTAATATCTACAGTATCTATTTTTTTTGGCGATGCTTCTCTCTTTGAGAGATGGTGGAAGTCTTGATGCCGTTCTCTTTTTGACAATTGCTAATTATATTGTTGAAATCTCTGTTTAAAATTGCGCAATAAGAGGCACGCCTCTGCGCAATTCTTCTCTTTTTGACAATTGCTAATTATATTGTTGAAATGATGATTTTGTGGCATGTTTGAAGCATGTCTTGCATTCTTGTGAACTATAAACTACTATTAGGTGTTATGACAGTATCATAGTTTCCAAATGCATTCCATTTAGTTGTCTTACTTGACGACCCAGTGACTCTCACCCATGTTTGAGAGTTATATAAGGTTTCATTACAAAATGATAAGCGGAGATTACCACCAATACTACAAAAAACACACTTCTTTTAACTTATTCAATCCAACTCACATTAGTTGATGAGATACTTGTGATGGAACTAGCTTCCAAAAATGAAACTAGATGTGCTTTTGACTGCCAAATTCACGAATATGTGCAGGCATTCCCTGTGTACCACACATGGGTGGTCTGTTATAAATAAAGTCTAGTAAAAGTGTGAAGAGGTCTTAGAGAAGGTACTGACTTGCCATCACACTACATCTTACTGATTGATCCATGATATGATGGTGCAAGTGACCTCAACCTTAAGCCATGCTTGTGGTTCAAGTAGTAAAGCCTACATCACACCTCCCAAAGCTGTTTGCATTGCAAGGAGAATTAAGAGAAATGACGATGAATAAGAAGCTATCAACTTACCTTATTGTTTCTTGAAGATTGCACCAATACTTTTAACTAGTTATTACAAATTGATTTTTGGAGTTTGACCTTAATCTTGTTGATAGGTGAGGGCGCCAAACAAACATGGTGTTAATGGAGCTTTGGTGGATCATTGCATACGTTTTGTGAACCACCGTGCATTCATGCCCAACCTTCCACAAACAAGCATGTCTTGACAATGTTGATAAGGTAATTAGATTTAATAGATGCAATTTACCAGCTCTTTTACCTTGCCTCATAAGATCTTTATTCTAGTCCCCTTCTAGTAAGAAGATCAATGAGTGCATCTATGACTGAGGTTAATTATATATTATTTAACATAAACTAGAGCCGCAAAGAATTTGAGGAAATCTATTGACCAACTGCTACAAATTGTTACAAGCTTGGAGATTCGTAGGGATAAACAACAATTGGGAATACACTACAACTTGAGAAAATAGGGGTTTGAGGAAAGGAAAGAGGAGAATAATCATAGCAAGGGGCTTAGATCATTTAATTGCATACATAATACTCTCCAATTGGAAGTATATAGAGCTACAAGATACTGTAGAACTCATTAATGACCTATTAGACACTAATATCAATTAAGTTACCTATTAAACACCATAATACCCATTATAAACTAGTCACTATTAGACATTAATATCACTTAAGTTGCCTACTAAACACCATAATACTCATTATAAACTTGTGATTACTCGCAGCATTTATAACCTAATAACTCAATCTAATGACACACTACAGGTAGTGACTAACAATACCAACCTCTTCAAATTCTACATTGCCCTAAAGTTCGAATAACATAGGAAAATAAGATAAATCCATTTGAGAAACTTGTGTAGAATCTTCTGGTTATGGTAGGTAGGAGAAAGTATTGGTGAAACTATAGAAGCTGTGCTGTTATCGAGTCTTATTTCCTTCTGATGATATGCTATGATAATAGAGGTGTTGGCCATTCATCCCACAGCTCTTTTGTGTCCTTCAAATATTACTATGATTGTAGTCATCTCGGTTAGGCATGAAGTTTCTTCAACAAAAATTACAAGTAATATAAAGTCTTGTGGTGGAGCAGGAGAGGATGTTTAGAACAATTGTGTTAGGAAACACTTGAAGATCTCAAGTGAAACCTAATGATCAAGATACAATTGATCCTCTTTTCGAGAGGAAGATCTCTCTCCTAAATCTCTAGACGCCACTGGAGCCCAAAAACCTAGCCCTAAGAGATCTCAAATTTCAGCCAAATTCAAGATGCCCTAACCCTAGGAAAACAAACTATTTAATGCATACAATCCAACAGGAAATCTTTAAACAATCCCTACATTCAAATTTCCCTCCTAACTCCCCTAAATATTCTTCCTAAACAGCTCGGTTGGCCCGGGCATGCGTTCGATGCGTACTGGAGAGGCGGAACTTTCGCCTATATTTCGCCTGGGCTAGTCTTGTGTGGACCGATTGGACCGGCCTCTATTTCGCCTAGGCTGATCTTGTGTGGACCGGTCTAACAAATTGCTTGTCATTCATCGTCCACACAAATTGAAAATGAGACAGTTTTATGGTTGAACATGGGTTTGCTATTTGGAGTCTTAGTTGGACTGTTGGATCAGGAGTAATGTAAAACTTTACGTAAACTAATTGACACCCAACGATATCTAATTAAACTTCCAAACCCAAAGAAATGGACTAAGAGTTAACAAAGAATAATTGATTTAGTTTTGACGATGAAATTTTTGTCATCAATTCTTGATATATTCCAACTGTTTGATCTTTGTCGTCTAACAGATGTTGCGCTTAACTTTCATGCTGCCTCCTTTTCCTAATGTCGAGTCTTGAATAGGAAATAATACGGAACTCCCACTATGTTAATATTGACTTAGCTGTATACTTCAATAGCCAAGTAACTATTCATGAGAACAAATGGTGGATAAAATGATCAAGAATTAAGAAAAGGAAAATAAAAGGAAAGAACTACATAGAACCTGTTAAAGGCTATTACGGGTGTAAATGAGTCAAACCGAACTCAAGTGACCCCTAACCTGATCTTGAGCTTGATTAATTAATCGAGTTTGAGCTCAGGCTTAATTCCATGAGTTCGAGTTGGCTCACAAGCCAGGTTATTCATAATGAAAGAGAGAAAATGATTATTATTCAAGCTATTATTATATTAAAATTATAAATTGAATATAAATTAAAAGATAAATAATAAAGAATCTGATATGCCTTGGAGACAAACAACAAACGAACGATGGAAAAATCGCAGAAATAATAATAATTATGGCTAATTTTGGATTATAATGTTAATTTGAAAGTAAGATACATGTGATTTACAATTCGAGAGGTAGATCAGCTCTCCCAAACAATCTAAATGCCGCTAGGAAGCCCTCAAAGAAAAAGCTACAACAAAACCAAATCAAAATCTGTATAAAACAAAATAAGCCCTAAACTTAGCCTTAAATAAGCTTCTCCTACTTCCCTCTTAAATCAACCTCCCTTCCTAATATATTTCCCTCTCCAATTTGAATTTCAGTTAGAAAATCTTTCCTAAATCAGCCTTCCTTTTCTAATGTATTTTCCTTTCCAATTTGAATTTTAATTGAGAAATCCTTATTAATCTCTTTCTTAATTCCACTTCTCACATAATGATTTAATGTTTTATTGGGTCCCACAAAAGGAGCCGAAATCTCTCCAAGTCCCTCCTTGGTCTGGGGTCTACTGGACCTGCTAGTCCAGCTTTTCCCTAGTCCGGCCCGTTAGGGCTGCCAATTTATCAGAATCACTTGGTATAAAAAGTGAGATATAATTTTTAAATATTTTTAATAGCTTGAAGTCTTGAATTCTGATATTATTTAAGTGTATTTTATAGTACTATTTATTAAACGACCCAACCCGCTAGCTAACGAGTAGAATCGGGGTTGGCTGAAGTTTGACTCGTTAGCTCATCGAGCTTAGCTCACGTGCCATTTATCAAGTCAAGCTCAAACTAGCTCATGAGTCGGCTTGACACTCTTGCACCTCTTCGTGGTATATTGGAATTGAAATTCAGCCAGCAAATTGAGATCAATGTTTGGCCGACAGAACCTTTCTTGGAGTATATATTGATTGGCTGGATTGTTGAGTTGTCCGTATTGAGCAGTTAACTATTCACTTGAAAAACAGTTTAATGAAACAAGTTGGAAGAACTGAGAATCTTATAGAAGTAGATTCTTAGCTTATTTTTGAGAATCTATTTTTTTGAATCTAAGTAAATGTTAGGTTTTTAACGGTTGCCTTGATTGTGTTTGCACCTTCTTGTATGGCGCTAAGAGGTTTTGGACACAAGAACAGCTGCCCTGTCCCTTGTTTCAACCCCAAATATCCGTGAACATGCTTAAGAAGGATGAATGTTGCCTTGGGAATCTGATGATCGATTGTGGTAGATTATTTTGACTTGACTATTATCTGCTTTCGTTCCCACTTAGGAAAACTCTTCCTCAACTTAAAGATAATCTGAAGGATAAGTTGTTATAAATAGGCTAGCCAATTAACAAAGTCTAAAAATTCCTATTTACATAACTACCCCTATCTTCTTCGTCTTTTCCAGGTAAACCTACTCTCCTTTTCTTCAATATGGAGATTTCTAAGCTTGCCAGACCATTTGCCCTCTCAATTATCGGAAAGTTTTGTATAGGTCATCATCCCAACATTGAGGTAATTGGCAAGTTCTTATCTAATTTAGAGTTTATTGGTGACTTCTCAGTTGGACTCACAACCACGACATATCATTATTAGACTTATAATTGGAGCATATTTCGTAAAAAATTTCTTAAAATGTTCATATTATAATAGTGGCTTCTTGATGTGCATGCTAAATGGGTCTCTCTATTTGATTGCTTTGTGAAACCCCTTTTCACTCTTATTTGGATCTCATTTCCCAAGAGAGACTAGTATGGATAAATTGGAAGAATTACCGTAATTATAGGATTATCCAATGAGAGAGGTGATTGTGGTAGAATTACGACCAAGAAGATGGAGAGCTAGTTAGCGCAACCCAATAGTGGCGAAGAAACAAGCTACTAAGATATTGAACGAGGAAAGAAAACTGCTAAGAAAGGAGGGAAACCGATACTTAGGTAGGAGCATAAGGAAAGAGTTCACGGTGGCCTACCTGAGGCCATCCTTTATGTAAAGTCCTAGAATTGCACAAACACACGCGAACACTAGAGCAACAAAGATGCACGAGCAAGTAACTAATTCGTGTGGTGTGCAATAGCAGATGATGAAGGCGTGCATCAATGGATTCACATGGACAGATCGTGAGAACATGCACTAGATGATTGCCAGTGGTAGGGCATTGTGTGCCTGGCTAGGGTATCACACGCAACAGATGAGAGTGTATTTTTTTCTTAGTTCTTGGAACAAATGTCTTCTTACTAGTTAAAATTGTTGCGTTTTCAATGCTAGTAATTTTTTGTTGTTTGAGCAAGCCTATCCTTATGATTTTTCATATAACTGATGTAAACTAAATGCATGAGAAATTATGCAATGTCAAAATTACACGCCTTTTTTGAATTAGAGCAATAATAATTACATTAGCTTCTAATGACTTAAACAAGTATTGAAACACTAAAGAGGTGATTAAAGCTTAGACCAAATTGATCATGAATTAATCAATTATAATCAAGATTAGCATAGCATGGGGGACTTTCAATGGAAATCCCTGAATTAACAATAAGATTAGGCACTACTTGGGTCCACTTACTCATTCTCTTGATGTAGGCTAAATGGAGATAGGTTGCACAACCTTTATGACGCCACAAATTAAGGGAAGACTTAGAAAAACAAAAGACTTGAAGGAAAAATTCACCTTGATCTGGATTTGAAAACGATCTGTTACTGAACGGAAGAGAGTTGTTTGTCGATAGCGGTGGCGATGGTGAATGTAATCCTTTCGATGTAGTCTTCTAATGCTTGATTGATCTCCGCATTGAGATCGAAGAATGTTGATTTCAGAATATCAACTTGACCTTAATCGTTGTAAAAAATCATAGTCACGTTCTGGGTCAGCCATACATGAGTGGCCAGCTACTAGGAGGGAACGGGAACTCTCGGGCAGCAAGGAGTGGATTTCCAGAGAGCAGGACAGCAATTTCTCTCGCTGAAGTTCCCTGGACAGCAGCCTAGCAATGTCCAGAAAAATCTAGACAGCAACTGTGGGATGGCAGAAGCTCTTGGACAGCAAAAAGTGGTCTTCCAACAAGCAGGACAGCAAGTATTCCTGCTGAAATTTCCGGACATCAGAGAGAAATCTACACAGAAATTCTAGACAGCACTTTTCCAATGACAGAAATCTGGACAGCAGTTGTAAATGGATCTAGGCACCAAGGGCTTGATGTGGTCGGCTATGGGAAAGAGAAATTATCAATTATTTGGAGAGGAAATAATTGGGGAAATAAAAAAAAGGAGATGGAACCAAAAAGGGAAGGGAGGAGAGAGGAGGCCGGCGGCTTGATTGGGAAGGGGTACTTGATTTGGGGATTTTAATGAGGTGTTTTAATGAGATAGGAGAGAGAGGGAAGGGGCGGCAGCCCTTTATGGGCTTGATTGTGGGATTTAATTGAAGTAATAATCAATTTCTAAGTTTGACATATTAAATTAGGAATGGGACTTAATTTCAATCCTTATTTAATATTCAATTGGCATGATTTGAGGGACCTTTCAAAGATTATTTCCCTTATTTTAGGAAAGAAATTTAAATTCAAATATGTGGGAATTTGAATTCAAAATAGTTTCCAAATTTAGGGGAACTAATTTAGAAAAGTAATTGAATGCAAATTTTGGAAAGTTTGGGAATTCCAAGGAGGTAGGAGGTGGCCGGCGTCTAAAGGGAGGGAAGGGCTTAGGGTTTGGGTGGCAGCTAAGTGGAGGGGATGAGCTTGGAGCCGGCGGCTTGGGGAGGAGGGGATAAACCTTATGGCCGGCGGCTTGGAGGTGGAAGATGGGGTGGCTGGCCGGGTTGTTGTGGTGGTGGGGGTTTTGGCCGAGGGATTGAGAAGGGGAGGGATGGCCAGCGATTCAAGGAGGGAGGGAAGGATTGGGGGAAAGAGAAGGACCACAAACCCGGACGCTTCCTGCGGTTGGTGGGTACTACTTGCCCTCTCCTAGGGTTCCCCTCTCAAGAGAACTCTCTCCACTCTCAAAACTCATAGGTAAACAATTTTATGAAATTTTTAATAATAATCTTCTTTATCCTCTCCAAAGGGGAGGAGGGGATATAAATAGCTAATGTTTACAATGATGAAATAAAAGACACGAATGCCCCCAAAGGTCACATACAACTTTTCCATCAATTGATGGTAGAAATGGAAAAAATACATAAATAAGTCGAATACATATAATCACTAAAAAATTAATCGGTGCGATCGTGGCCGTAGATCTTCGGCCCCGTCTCTGGTAAACTCTCCAGGGTTGGATGTCATCATCACTGACTATTTTGTGATTTTATAAATCCCCAATTTTATAATCTTTCTTGTTGAGCAGTGGAAGGGATTGAACAATCAAACCTCCACTATGTGCATCCTTAATGTGCCTACAGCTTGGTCTTGTACCAATCTGTTACCATAACAAAGGTGGAGCAATAAAAACCGGCAGAAGGGAGAAGCATCCTATGTCACATGCCTAACAGTCTTGTTCTGTTTTGAAGGACAACATTTACAAATTACCCATGCAACGTTGTTGTTATGACTTTTTGTCACTTAGAACTAGCCACATTCAAAGAATAGTGAATAAAAGCACTAGTGCCAAAGCCAAGAACTTTGAAGTGTAACAACTTGGCTAAGTGAATACAAGAAGCGAAGGTTTCTCTTCTATGCTCTTTGCTTTGTTGCTTTTGTTCACTCTTTCCTTGCACTCTTGTCCTCACTTCACTACTTTTGAAGTATCTCCATAACCAAGTTTATATAACTCTTTTCCTGACATCAAAAGTCTTCTTCCTGTGATTATACTGCTCTAATATGCCTGCAGTTTCGAACCAAGATTCTTCATATCTGTTTGAATAATCTCAAATGCGATTGTGTGCATAATGGCTATCCGGGTGTTCTTCTTTTTTTTTTTTTTTAAAGATTTCAAGAACGTAATTTTCAATTCATTCCTAGAGAGTGCAATAAGGTTGTTAACTATTGTGCAACCATTTCATTGTGTGACAATTTCTTTTGGGATTTGTTTTATAATAAGCTTCCTCAAACAATTTTGACATTGTTGAAAGAGGAATGTGATAGAGTAGCTACCACTTAGGTTGTATCCCTTTTTTTTTTTAATAATATGCAGTATGCATTTTCTCAAAAAAATAAAAATAGCATTACCATTTGCAGGCATTTGCTCCTTTTTGAAAGAAAGCCATGAGATGGGCTTATCATCTTTGTTATTGTATTTATCTTGATCAATTGGATTAGTATTCAGAATAAATGCTAGAAATATTAAATTAAAACTGCATAAGAACTGAGAATATCACACATACAGACATCTTCCACCAAACGTTCATATAACTTAGACATGGTATGAATTATGCAGTTAAACTATGCTTTGAAAAATACATTTTCATCAAGTTGAAGGTGCTGATTGGAAGAGGAATGATCATGATCAATCTAGCTTTATATCAACCATCAAATAGACATTGATTGAACAACCACTGCAAAAGAACAACTCTTCAGGAGCACCTGCATATGAACTATTTACTATCCATGAAGAAACTCAAAATTTCAGGATAAAAAGGCTATCTGATGGACTCTGGATGCAACTTCACATGATTAGAATTACCTAAGAAGTTAAGGTGACCAACAGGGCACACCTTGGATTCTCAACATCAAAAGCAGATGTTGCTTAAAGTTGGTCGGACAAGAAACAAAAGAGATTCAACAAGTTCTGATATGATTTTCAACGTAATGAATATACATTGAAATGTGTATTTGTCTTGTAAGATAGAAAGTATTGAGGGAGTTTGGTTGCATTTTATTATTCCCTCTAAATTTCAAAAGTGTGGAACATGAGTCATAATCTTAAATTATACCTTTATCATCATAGTTAATATAATTCAAGCACCCATAATACATTATAATTGATTGAAAAGTGAAATTCAGAATTTCCAATTGATTGTTCATACTTTAGTGGAAGGGAGGATGTTAAAAAAATTATTTGACCATCTTTTGATCTAATTCTCTCCTGTGAAACAAGCTCTTAAGCATTTCTAACTTCTGCTTTTCTAAACTATATTGGTTTCAATTAGAGCTCGAAGGACTTCTGTAACTAAACACGGCCAATAAAATGGGGGTCATATAAAACCTAGAAAAATTTTATTGTTTGAAAACTTTAGGTTATGCGCGCTTCATCAAGTCTATACTAGTATGAGCACTGCATTTGATGATCATTTGCTAAACGAAAGAAAACACTTTTCTATGTATGACTTAGAAACTACGAGTCTAGCTTGTCTGTCTTGTGTCACTCACAGACCTGGCCTGATTTACTTTTCGATGAGATTTATTGAAACTAATATAATACTTTTGACCATTTTATGACTTTAAATTCTAATTATTTTGCTGCGTGCAGGATTTGCTACTTGAAGCCTTCAAGCTTGATTGCACTGTGAAGGTCATACCCCACGTTACTTTCCATAATCCTCACTATGGTATGCCTTGTTAGATTTGTCATAATTTAATATGAATGTACTGTTGATTTTCTCTCTTTTATTGTTCTTTTCTTTTTACAAAGAACATGCTTAAACCTATATTTTTTTTACTTTTATCTAATATCCCTTAGTTTTGCCTTAAGCTATTCTGATGTTATAGGTCAAGCATATGTCATATGCAATTCGAGAAATGAGGCAACCAATGCAGTTCAAGAGATTGATGAAAAATGTTTAATTCTATCAGACGGAAGGTATTGCTAATCTAGATTTTTTCTTCTGTATTTATTATCAATTTGTGTTGGGAAGGCTTCAATCATTCCCTATTTTCTGAATTATTTAATTATAGTGCTATTGTATATTATTCTATATCACAATATCTTAGTCTTGGTGCTGGGTTTTGTTTTGTAAGTGACAATGAAGCTTTCGACGACCCTGAAGGTTCGTGCGGCAGAAGGTGCATGAGAAGTTGACGTATGTGTTATTTCATGCGAGTGCACAAGCTTAATATATTTGCACGTCCTGGTGTCTAGTTTCAATAGGTTCATTGAGGCATGGGTCATCTGTTAATGTATAAGCTAGCATTTTGCATCATGCTTTTCACGGTAGGATGAGTTTCAAAATAAATAATTGGCACAGTTTTTGCATAATTATGACGTTTATAGTGGATTTGTGATGTATTTATCTTAACAATATAATGATACATACACACATTATATATATATATATATATATATATATGGACACACACACACACTTTAATGGGATATAGAATTGTTATATTGCACATAAAGAGCTAGTGAATATTTAATATGAAGGTTATAGATTGGACTCAAATCAATAACCTCTATTTTGAGAATTAGGGATCGTGTTTTTTGAGCTAGAGCTCTTTGATATGGCAAGAAATGTACTTGAGTACATACAAATTAATTTTTTTCCTTACTCATTTGTATGCTCCTTATTATAATTAAAATATCGTAGATGTTAATTTTGAATGTGCTCCACAAATAATAAAACTTATAATTTTTATTTTAATAATTTATTGCTGCAAACTAATTTAAATAAATTAAAAGTGTTTACATGATGTGTGCCTGTTTTTAAAAATTCAGATTAAATTATTTCCCACGCTTTTGCCCTATATATTAATAGGTTTTAGTTTTAATATTATAATCATTCATTTCATTTAACATCATCAAATAGGGTAACATACATATTTTCATGAATTTTAAAGATTATTTTATCATCAATTAAATGCATAAAAGTTTTTCAATGGATGAATCTGATTGTATTAGTAGATAATTGTGATTTTAGTGAAAAAAAATTTAAAATAGCTTGGATTTAAATACGTATGTTGTTCATGATATCTTGCATTGAATGATTTTTATTTTTGAAGGACATAGTTGAAAGTGGGTTTTTTAGAGGACTTCTATATGTCATTTGGCTGTTCTTATATCTTCTTACGCAAATAATTAAATTATCAAAAAAATTGATTAAACTTGACCAACGATTCTTGTATTCTTTATCATAATAAATTATGGTTTTTGAGTTAGAAGACAATATAAAGTGATAGTACAACAACAACAACAACAAGCTTTATCTCACCATGTGAGGTCAGCTACATGAATCCTTTTTCTCCATTGTGTACTAGTAAGGGTCAAATTTTCATCTAAATCTAATCAAGAAAGGTCATTTCTAATATTTTTTAACAATCTTTTTAGGTTTAACTCTACCTTTCTTAATATGAGTCAAATCTAATACATCTACTTTCCTAACCGTTCATTGGAAGGCCGCCGTTTTATATGAACAAATCATCTAAGACGGCTTTCTCTAATCTTACCTTCCACTGGTGCTACTCCAACCTTTTCACGTATATGCTCATTTCGTATCCTGTCTATAAGAGTAAAGCCACTCATCCACCTAAGCATCCTCATCTCTGCAACACTTAACTTAATATTATGTTTCTTTTTTAATGGCCAACATTCTGCACCATAAAGCATTAGAGGTCTCACTACCAAAATTTAGATTTTGAAAATATGAATGTGAGGAAAATAGAAAATGAGAGATTTTATAAACTTTTTTTCTCATTTTTCTGTAAAAAAAATTCACATAAATAGGTGGAGAAATAACTATTAAGAAAAAATGAATATGAAAATCTATTTTTAATTATGAGATTTAAAATCAACTACGTATTAGAAATGAAATATTATGTATGGATTGCTTGGTTGTTGTTGATGAAAAGTTAACGTCCATGAATTATTAGATTCTCGTGGATGGAATATTGTTGTCCATGAATTTTTAGATTATTATAGATGGAAAGTTGTTTTATGCTTAGCTTATTGATTTGATTAGGTTATAAAAAATCATTCTAGGTAAATCCTTGTTGATGATATCTGCAGTTGGGGGTTAGAACATAATTTTATTGGGCCAATTTTTATTTTTTTTATTTTTTTTTTTATTTTTTTTTTTTATAGATGAATCTTAAGCCTGTCACAATGTGTTTATTTTTTCACGGTGAACAAATTATTCTGCAATATTATGGTAAGCTGGTTGTCATGTTACACTTTTAGATAATTTTTCACTTTTTAGTTTAATTCTTTTAACAATCATTTTAACCCCCATTTCTTTGTAAATAACAAGTATCATTGCCTTGCATTTAGCTTCAACACCATTTCTTGATATTCAAGAATTATTTTTTTTCTTCTCCGCATAAATAGATTTCCGCATACATAAATATAATAGCTAGAGTTCGATCTTAGGACTGATGCTTCTCTTTCCCAATCAACCTATGTGAACATTTTAATTTTTTATTGATTAACTATTTATATAGCAAGTCTTTTATTGATGTTATTTTGAGGCCCCTTAGAATGCATTTAACTTTCATTTGGTCTTCAGTAGCTTACAACATTAATAGAAAATGAGAGAGGTAGATGAGTTTGCCCATAAGGTATTGATGCCTACCTTTATTAATGGCATATTGTAGTGGTGATTCCAATATTCTTTGTTATGTCTTTTGGAGTTTTTGCTATCTTACATCCAAACATTCTTATTTCTTGAAGTAGATCAACAATATACTTATTTAGAAATATCAGTACTTTTTTTATCATCTCACTTATATGCCAATGAAGTATTTTATATTTCCCAAATCTCTTGCATCAGATTCTCTTTCCCAAACCCATTTAATTTAGTTAGCAATTCCTTGAAGTCATCTATAAACATAGTATTGTCCACATAAACGACAAAAACCGGCCTTTTTTCCCTTTAGGTGAACACTTAATAAAGAGAGTGTGATCAACACTATATGGAGCATACCCACACTTTTTATTTTTTAAGCATATTTAAAGAATATGCCAAATGAAGTATGGGATTATTCGAGGCCACACATAGGTTTTTTTTTAGTTTGCAAACCTTATTTTTGTTTTGAAAAGTATTCTTGATTTCAATTTGATATATAAGCTATTTCAAATTTGCCAAAAGATAGCAAAACTCAAATTGTGTTGAGTTTTACTATAGAAGAGTTTCTTGATTGCCAATGCCATTTGATTGGTTGCATCTTTCTGCAACAATTTTGAATTTAAATTTATCCACACTTCCAGCTATTTTATATTTGACCATAAAGATCCATCTTCATTCAACAGATTTCTTTCATTACAATTCTTTTTTACTCCAAGGATTTTGAGATCTTCATGAACATTTTTTGGAATCTAAATATTATCAAGAGAAGTGACAAATGAGTTAAAATCTAGGCGAAAGCCCTTTATAAGTTGTGAAATCATAAATTATGTATTTGATGATTGACTTCACCTCTTTCCTTAAGGCAATAGGGTAGCAGAGATAAGTATCATTATTTATAGATTTATTCTCACATGTTTGTACTTCATTAGTGCTTAAACTAATTTTATTTTTTGGGTATACTGGAGAGATTTTGATTGCTCCTATTCTTGATTTTTTTTTTCGTACTAGAATAAATAACTTATTCTGCATGGTTTGGTGTTGCCAAGGTGATGTGGGAGTTTGCAATTTTGGCGACGCTTCATTAAGTTTTGGAAAACTTGAATTATGGAGTCTAAAGGTTTTCATTTAAGTATATCTAAAATTGAACACATGAAGAGTAATTTTAGTAGTAATGGATCTAATAATGGGTTTGTGACTATGGGTGATCAAGTCATTAAAAAGTCATTAAAAAGAGTGCACGTTTTAGATATCTTGGGTTTATTGTTAGAAATGATCGTGAAATAGATGGGGATATTATTAGTAGAATTCAAGTTGGATGCTTGAAGCGCATGAATGCATTAGGCCTGTTGTGATAAAAAAGTATCCCTCAAACTTAAGGGAAAATTTTATGAGATAATGTTGAGACCTGCAATGCTTTGTGGGCACAGAATGTTCGCCATTAAAAGAGAAGCTTAAAATTATGTTAAGTGTTTCAGAGTTGAGGATGCTCTGGTGGATGAGTGAGTGGCTTTACACTTAGAGATAGAATGCCAAACAAGTTTATACATAAAAAGGTTTGAGTAGTTCTAGTGACTGTAAGATTAGAGAGAGTCGCATTAGATGGTTTGATCACATAAAGCGTCAGCCTTCCGATGCACGGTTAGGAGAGTACATCTTGTTTGATCTGACCAATGCTAAGAAAGGCAGAGGTTGATCTAAAAAAAACTTGTTTAGAAAGTATTAGAAATGACCTTTGTTTATTAGATTTACATGAGAATTTAACTCTTAATGGGACATAATGGAGAAAAAAGATTCATATAGCCGATCCCACATAGTGAGATAAAGGTTTATTGTTGTTCAATAAGTTGATTTACTGATAAATTGATGAGGGGGTTTTGCAGTTATCGTGAGACTTTTTTAGGTTGTATGAGAGGCACAAATAAACGTTCATTTCCTATTGGTTTCATGAGGATGCATAATAAATGATAAAATAAATTTCCAATTTGAAATTCTTATTCTTAAATTTTTGTTAGGAAATTCTTGGAATTCCCAAGTAATTCCTAACTATCTTGATGAAAACATCAAGAACGATCCCCAAATCCAAATGAAAGATCAGAAAAAATAATAATTTTATTGCGATAATCAAATGAACAGAAGAAAAATTACAAGATACAATTAATCCTTTATTCGATAGGAGGGTCTATCTCTCCCAAATCTCTAGACGCCGCTAGAGCCCAAAAATCTAAACCTAAGAGATCTCAAATTTCAGCCAAATTCTAGATCCCCTAACCCTTGGAAAACAAAATATTTAATGCATACAATC